TTTATTTTGAAAAATATGATTAGCGTTGATACAACAAAATACACGTGGACGCACGTTTTCTATATTTAATTATTTACTTTTTTTTTAAATAAATTAAGTATTAGGTATACAACTTTGCTTCCGCCGTTTTCCTATAGATGGCTTTAGCGGTAAATGGTGGTCGAAATAAATAGATCATAGACGTCATACAATAAACTTGGACATCTGTCAACATAACCCCATAGAAACATTAGTCGATTTGTGTCTGCATCATAAAGTTATTCTCGATTGAAAATGTCAATTTACGAGCCAAATTCTCGTCATTTGCGGGAGGTTTTAATTTTTTGCTTCAATATGAAGAAATCTGCGGCTGAGGCTCATCGAATGTTCTCAAATACTTATGGTGAGGCCGCTATTAGTGAAAGAACGTGTCGTGAGTGATTTCAACGCTTTAAGAACGGTGATTTTGACGTCAAAGACCGGCATAGCGGTGGAAGAAAGAAGATTTTCGAAGATGCAGAATTGGAGGTATTACTTGAGCAAGACTCGTGTCAAAATCAAGAAGAATTGGCACGATCATTGGGAGTGACTCAACAAGCCATTTCAAAACGCCTCAAAGCCATGGGAATGATTCAGACGCAAGGAAATTGGGTGCCGTACGAATTGAAGCCGAGAGATGTTAAACGGCGTTTGTTTGCTTGTGAACAGCTGCTTGAAAGGCAAAGACGGAAGGGATTTCTGCATTGTGACTGGGGACGAAAAATGGGTTCATTACGATAATCCCAAGCGCAGAAAATCATGGGGAGTTCCCGGCCATGCTTCCACATCGACGGCCAAACTGAATATTCACGGCTCCAAGGTCATGCTCTGTATTTGATGGGATCAGCTCGGCGTAGTGTATTATGAACTGTTAAAACCGACTGAAACAATCACAGGTGATCGGTATCGAACGCAATTGATGCGTTTGAGCTGAGCATTGAAAGACAAACGGCCGCAAAACAACAAGAGACACGATAAAGTGAGTTTGCAGCATGACAATCCCCCATGTTGCGAAAGTGGTCAAGACATACTTGGAAACGTTGAAATGGGAAGTCCTACCCCCCCCTCCGTATTCTCCAGACGTTACTCCCTCTGACTATCACTTGGTTCGATCAATGGCACATGGCCTGGCTGACCAGCACTTCCGGTCTTATGAAGAAATAAAAAATTGGATCGATTCGTGGATAGCCTCAAAAAGATGACCAGTTTTTTCGACGCGGGATTTGTACGCTACCCGAAAGATGGGAGAAAGTAGTGGCCAACGATGGACAATATTTTGAATCATAAATGTATAACCAGTTTTTTACAATAAAGCCTCGAATTTCGGAAAAAAACGGCGGAAGCAAAATTGTACACCTAATAATATAAATTTTTTAATTTTTCTGTTTCAAATCTCTGGTTCATACAATAGATCTAAGCTCTAAAACGTCCCTGTTTTTCATTAATTCAGAAGAAAGATATGTAGGTATCTTTCGAATAGCATTGGCTTGTTTATATTGATCACCATTCACTTAATACAGACCACTTCTAACTACTCGGCATAAGAATTATCATTAACAAAACGCATACCATGTACCGTTGCACAATGATCAACAAATATAAATAACATTTAAACAATCTGTATTTGGTGAGCCACAAAATAAATATAGCTATATAGATTGTGGTGAGATAACCAATTCAAACTTACCCATTTGCAGAACAATATCAATGTATTATATATTCCAGTATTGTGACACGTCCCAGTGAGAAATGACAATGAAATCGATATTGAATCAACATCGATGCAATGTAGATTCCAATATCATTTCTCACTGAGGTTGTATATTTTTCTTTATTTTATGTTATAGAATTTTTTCAAAATTTTTTATCAACTTTCTAGTACTACATTTTCTTATTTTTTCATGAGAAAATACAGTATTACAAAATTCTGAAAAAATTCTGAAAAAATTCTAACAACTTTATGAAAAGAAAATAAATGATTGTTGTCTTTTGCAATTTTTCTATAAAGTTGATAGTATTTGAGTAAAAAATTATTCAAGACCAATATTTAACAATTTTTAGTAATTAATATCTTGTTAATTATTGCAAAAATTGCAAAATAATAGAGGACTTTCTGATTCAGTTTAGTTCGCTCTATCTACACAAAAACAATTGGTTAAAACTTACGGGACACCCTATATTTATTATTTAAATTAAAATTATAGATATTCATAACATATATTTTGGTAATGGAAATGTATAAGGAATCATTTTTGAATCATTGGCATTTACTTCATCCCATTCATCACGTAGCTCCCTAGATTTTTCTATCCACAAATCCTTGTGTATAAAAGATATGACACCTAGCCAATCCTAAATATAATAAAGTTTAATCCAGATTATGTGATATTATAATAGAAATAAAATTTTAACATACCTGCAGACAATGATTTGCCCATGCATAAATCATTTTGTTGTCTACTTTTATACAAAATTTCTTCGTTTTCTGTAGCATTTTAATTGCAGCATTTTTTTGCAATTGTGTCATGTAATAATAAGCTTTCATCAACATATACCTGCAACCATTTTGATTTCTTAAAATAATTCTTTAAATGAAGATAATAAATAAAAAATTTCAATGTACTGTCAAAGTAATTTTGAGTTATAATTCTTTAAATTATTTTACGCGAGTTAATAAAATATAAATTATATATATAAATTAAAGTAATTATTAATAATAAACATATTTTTATACCTGGGAATTGCAATTTTTATTATTTTTATCATACTTTTGATATGTCTGAATTCGTGCTTGATTTCCATAAACGTTTGCAATGCGTTTATGTTTCTGTTAGTAATCTCTCTTACTGCAAAAATTGAGACTTTACTTTAATAATAATTATATATACATACATGTAGGTATATATACAGAAAAAAATTTCAAATAATAGGCCGAATCTCGGAAAATATGAGATACGGAAAAATGTTTCAGATAAAAATTGTACGGTCTGAAGAGATACAAATTCTGATAAAATACTGATACAAATGATAGAAATACAAATTCTGATAGATAAATCGAGGAATTCCAGTATCTTGGCCAGCCAGATTACTTGATCTGACCTGCCTAGATTTTTTCTTTTGAAGCAGAATCCAAAAAATTGTTTATGTTAATTCTCCAATTTATTATATTAGAAAAAATATGTTAAGAATACGCGAAGCGTACCAAATAATTTCAAGAGACAAATTACAAAATGTGCATAATAACTTTTAACGAATATTGCAAACTTGCATAAATGCAAGAGGATAACATTTCGAACACTTACATTATTATTGAAATTTTCCTTTTTCAAAAGAATGTATGAATTTATTTCATTATGTAAAAATTCTTTTTTTTTTAAATTGTTTCTTTCACTTTTTCGAAGATTAATAAAGTTTATTTCTTTTTTTTTTTTTTCTGCTTTCTTTTCCATCATTTAACCTCCAATCGCCTTGTAGTCATTTAATTATGTAGACAACACACAATTCACATAAAAATACATAAAATATAAAATATCTCGCAAACTATTAATTTTTCGATAGCTTCACTTACATACTTTTATGTGCGGAATAATCAGAAGAATCATATTATATAAAAAAATTATATAATTCCATTAAAAAAAAAAGCGATGATATTAAACCTTAAAAAGTTGATTTTTTTAGACAATTTATTTGATTAGTATTTGTATCCCCTCAGACCGTACAACTTTTATCTGAAACATTTTTCCGTATTTTCCATATTTTCTAAGATATTTGGCCCATTACGTTTGAAATTTTTCACCCTGTGTGTGTGTGTGTGTGTGTGTGTGTGTGTGTGTGTGTGTGTGTGTGTGTGTATGTGTGTTGAGATTATTATTTGAACATTATGCAAATATATATATATATAATATATATATATTTGCATAATGTTCAAATATTCAGATATTTTACCGTATAAAATTAACAGTCCCTCAAGTTTCTTCAATGCAGTAATTGTCGCTGCCACCTTATGCTCATCCATTGTACTCTCAGCCGTCACGTTCCTGCTGTTCCAAACTTTCGCAGCTTCCCATTGCTGCATTCTGATGCACCTTGAATAATGTATATTTTTTAAAAAAAAGATTAATTTTCTTTGATTTTTATAAAGCGAAATTTTTCATATTTACCACAACCACATAGATGTGAAATATCTCCTTTCCGCTTCGGGATCGTGGAGACTGATTATGGTCTCTCCTTCTTGGTTGTAATATTTATCGCAATTTTGAAACGACAAGACTGTGAGACCGGTATCAAGTTGCACATCAGCACACATGGCGTAATACCAAGTCCGACCTGATTTATCCGAATTTCGCGATACGAATTCTGTAAATACAAGTTTCAAATATATTTTTATATGTATTGTTAAAATATCAATTAATTTGATTTATACAATTTATTAGATATATTTACAAGATATATATAAAATTCATTAAGAATATTATATTAAGATTAAAGTTTGTCTGTTTATTGATTTGGAAAACCTACCTAACTTCCTTAGCAAAGTCACGACTTCCGAATGACGACATGAAATCATGAGCAAGTGTATTAATCTTGGTAGTATGAGCAATTTGAGGAACATAGAGTCCATAGTTTGTGCCATCCTCAACGTGATAAAGCCGATTCTGATCGCTTTGTTGATTTCTCCTCTCAACCATCGTGAAAAAAATATCCCTGCATAAAGTTCAGCAATGACTTTGAGCTCTTGAAATTCAAGTAAATCTCCTTTCTTTGCACAGATACTAAGAGCTTCTTTTTCCAAATAAGGAACAATTGACCTACTCATAAATAATTAAATAATGTAACAAATGTTCTTGTTTCAATAACAAAAAATAATATACTTAATAGTGCTACAAATGATTGATAATAAGTTTTATTATATTGATTAATTGATTTCATTAATTTAAGAACTTTTGGTAGTTTTAAATAATTTTAAATTTGGGCTATATCACAAGATTTGGTAGACGTGGGCAATAATCATCATGTTCGTGAACGAAGTGCAGAGTGTGAAAAAATCATTTGACGCATCTAGTGCAGCGTTTAAGCTCCAGATGGCCGCTAGCCGTGCATGTTTTTTCATATGTTTTGTTCCCTTTAAATTATAATTAATAACAATTATGTTGAGTCTTAAAATTTAATAATGAATCTTATTTATTAAATAATGAATCTTACTCTGAAAACAACAAACATCAATGCCAAACAATTAGCCAATTGCTCGATATAATTTATAGTAAATTCGTCGGCGGTATTCCAACGCTTAGGACAGATCAATCTCCATCTTAGCAATTTGAGTTGAGTTATAGACTTTAAGTCAATTGTGAATTTGCGTCGAGGAAAATGATAGCCTAGACTGATCATTGCCTCTTTCAGTTTCTTGCTTGCTTCGGATATTAAACCGCTTTCTAAATGACATTTACCTTGAAACGTCTGAATTTTTGCGGTGAGATAAAACAGGAAGATTGAATTTTCTTCATCGGACTCGGCTATCTATCGTTAAGTACCATTAATTTGTCTTTTTTTAAACCTACTTTACTATTTTTATCCTATTATATTATGTTATCCTGTTATTACTATGTTTATCCGCTTTACTTACTTGTTGAATCAGAGTTTCAGCATCACTCAGAAGTCTGCGAGCTTGAGGTACATTGTTATTTGCTAAACAGATTTCCACAAATTCCAAAATCGCCGTCAAGATTATGTCTTGTTTTCCTGAAATAGAATAAGGTTTTAAATTATAATGATTTATAAAGAATTCAGCACAGATCTTATGAAAAATGTCCTTCGATTAAATTGACTGAAATTAAAGACTTTTGTTCAGGATGTCGAAGACAATAACATATTTTAATTCCAGCCAAATTTTCCGAGGGACGTTTTCCATAAGATCTGTGCGAGATTAAAAGGGGGGGGGTCTTTAAAGAGATTAGAAAATATTATTATGTCTAATAGGCCATGATTTCTTCGTTTCGCGAACGTTCGATCAATAAAGTAAGGAACGAACAAATCGATAACACAAATTCGAGGAAATTTTCCGGCCTAAAAATTAGTTTGTTAGAATCGAATGATCTGCGATAATAATTAATTATATAGTATTAACGCATTGGAAATCAAGCCTTAAATCTCCTTTTGAATGTCAAAGGAATGGAAAAGGAAATCGTCAAATAATCATTATCAAAATTACGTTAGTACTAAGGTGCTAAACCGGATCGCGAAATGATCCCTGCGATAATAAGGATGATAGCGCGGATACAATACTCAAGAGAAGGTGAAATATTTAATTATTTCACACCAATATCAATGGCTCCAATGATAATAATCCCACGCGTAATCTTAAGACAGAGTTATAAATTTAATAATGACATCTTTCAATATTGGGAAAATTAGCACAAAGCTGCGAGTCACGCTTCTTGCTTCCCAAGAAGAACGATTAACTAGTCCAGGATATTTGTTCATCGCTCAACGCGAAAGCAGTTGGATAAAACGTAGATAATTTTTTCCCGTTTATAATTAAGCCAAACGATGATAAGAAAAGAAATCGGTAATTCACAACTCATTTTCCCTCTGTAACGAAAATCACTAATGGGCGACCATGAAATCTTTCAGGAAGGTGATGTATTTTCACCAGTAAGAATAAAAACAAATTAAATCTAACCGCAAGCAGAGCTAGCTTAAAGGCAAATTTCCAATGACCAGTTAAATTATTTAAGGAGAAGAAAATCCCACTAACCTGATTCCTCGATTTCCCAACTAGACACATCTTATCTAAGGAACTTTCAAAAAAAGACCTATATAAATCGCGATATCACGAAACACAGAGCAATCATTCAAAAAGAGAAACCGCTCTCTAATACAAGACGCATCTTTACTAGTTAGTGAATTCATCTGTGCACGAATTCCAAGGCCGAATCCATTACCATTGCTACTAAAAATCAGATCGTTGAAGCCCTCTTAAATAACATGGCACTCCGATATCCGACAATAATCTAAAAATAAGTCTCTTTTTTTTTCATTTACTTCGGGAGCCTAATTAATTACAATCTTTAGTGAGACTTCGAATAAATAATGCCCTCGGCGTCACTGAGATGGCTTCGAATCCAGGCATACTTAAAAAACTTGCAGACTGCTGGCCAAAGCCTACCAGGAATACTTCGCGATCTTAAATCATTCTCGGAGTCGAGTAGACCTAGCGGAGGATCCTATTCCGCTAGAACCTTCATCACATTTGCCACCATCGGCTTTGTCGGCCCTTCCGGTTTGATCGATTCACCAAAATGTATCGATATCTCCTCCTTTTTTTTCTCCTCGATATTCGTCATTTGTATTGGGCGTTCTGACGGAGCGAATCTTTTCAGATATCCCACTTCTAATTCCAGACATCCCCCTTCTAACTCTTCTATCTAGTTTATCCCCCGTTATCTCGCCCACAATCACCTACTAACTCAACTTCGAGCATGAAAATTCTGGAAGAATTTCCCGATCTTCCTCCTCCTCCTCCGCAATGAATATTTCATCCACCCTGATGATTCTTTTTAGTCACTAATTGATAGATTTTTCCGCGCAACAGAATCTCTTCTACCAGATGTCTATGTCATCGGCCCTGATTATTTTGATCCAAACAAAATTCAAACTGATGTAACTGGACAGCCACCCAATGTTGACATCCGGGTATTCCTTTCGCGATCACCTCATCCATATCTCGTGTAGATTTCTTTTACAACTTTCTTTCCGTCACGGTTAATGAAATTGATTATTAAAAATTTATCGCCTATTTTTTCAAATGCACAGATTCATACTTGCCCATAATTTTTCGAATTTGTTGATCCTAATATGATAATATATCGTAGTAATAATAATATTAATAACAATAATATTAATAACAATTATTATTATTATAAACACAATATGAATAAATAATTGTATATTTGTAAATAATTTAGTATTCTATCTCCACAGTACGCATTTCAAACTGTAACATTTTTTTTATCGTGTACAATTTTTTCATCAACTTCATAAAGTGCTTATTATAAAATCGAACAATTTTCTGTTAAGTATTATTTTTTCTACATCTTTATAAGGATAAACTTTAGATTAATTTTAATCACGTTAAAATGATAGTATTTGGCGTAATCATTGCAAATATTGTAATACATCAAAAATTGTTTAATAATAAACTATAATATTGTTAATATGACGTGCATCAATTTCTATTTATTTTAGAATCATAAGACTTCGTTTTTCTTTCTCACTCCCATTGTTTTTCAGAAATCACACGTGGTCTCCTGAATAAGGATTAAGTTCCTTGACTCAAAATATTTAAAATATGATTGATATTCAATAGCGTCCCTTCAAGATATTGACTCATATTCCGGAGCGATAAAAAGTGTGCCTCTGCGCGTATACCTGTGAGATAAAGTCTAAGCGTCCTTTAAAACATTCTTCACTTTCCTTCATCATCTATCCGAACAATCCCGAGAAATAAAACCTTCCAAAAGGACAATATGTATAATAGTCGTTGCACAATATTGATTGACTCACCGATTCCTTGACAATGTTCTAACATCTGAGCATAGATAGTCATTAAGATAAGATGGCATTGACAGTTGGCGAAGTCGACGTTAGAGAAGGTCTTGGTAAGTTTTCTGACTTTTTGAAAGATGTTAAAACGAATCGGTGTCCTTTCTGCTGCCTTTTGCATATCTTGTAATAATATTTTCTTTAGATTATTATAAAATTATTGTAATTTTTAATTCTTTATATTATACATATAATTACAACAATATAATATAAAAGTTTTTCATTTATTTCAAAATTGCTGCATATCTATAATAAAAGCTTAATTATATGTATAATGCCTAATCCATGCTGGATTCAAAACTGATTTCGGATAAAATACCGTTTTTTGCCTCTTCTTTGACATAAGTTGTTTCTTCAAGTTGATGTACCTCATTAAGGTCAATTAGTTTTGTTTTTTTAATTTCCTGCACAGCCGTTTTTCCTAATAATCTTGCAAATTGTATCTCGCCACAAGCTATACATCGTTTAGTATGTTGCCGAAGATATTTTAATGCCTTGCTATGTAATTCCATTTTGTGATTTTCTGTGAGTGATCTTTATATATAAAAATATAAAAAGACACAATCGATTTTATTAATATTTGAATCTTAAATCCTACA